TTTAATAACAAATACTGTAGATGAAGTTTTGATTTAATGATTAAGGCTGGGAACTAATGAATTAGAGATTCTAAATTCAAATCTAACGTATATACGTGATTTTTTTTCTCCAAGTATTTGTGGGTTATATATGTTATAAAGTTGTAATCTCCACCATTTTGGGTTACTTGTTAGTGTTCTTGAATTGTAATTTTTACCATTTACAGGGTACTCTGTTGATTGTATCATCCCACCTGCATTGTGGGTACCTTCTAATCTTATAGAAGAATTCAATACAAAACATTAATTTACTGCCTACTTGAATTTTGGTTGACTTCAGGGTCTTTGGTACGGAATGCTTCTTGGGGCATGTCTTCAAATTCTAGGAAGACTGTGCCTAGCAAACTGGAAAAAGGCAGGCTTTTTGCGGCTCGACGGAGTCTAGAACAAATGGGAGGGAAAATGCTATCTCGAGATGATGAAGAAACATGAATTATGGAGGGAGAAATAAAATAAAACTGAATTTAAGGGCAACATTGTTTTTTTTTTTTTAATGACAAACCTGTACACTGAGAAAAGACACCAGCCCTTAAATTTCATTAATAAATCAAAATACAACCATTAGAGGGGATCAGACCTGACCTCTAAGGAAAAAAAGAAAATTACAGGAGAGGAATATGAGCCCTTAAAAGCCTACTTCCTGATGGGAGGAAAGGAGAGATTATCTAAACTGATGAACTTCCTAACCGATACAGGCAAATTCATGTGAAGACGTAAAACCACAATCCAAATGCAAAGAAGCTAAGCAATCAGCCGCAAGGTTAGTTTCTCTAAAGATAGGCTTAAGAGAAGCGGAAAGGGAAGACACCAATGCTCGAATCTGTGGCAACACATTGCAAAGAGGCCATTTTGCTTGGTTGGGGGGGGGGGGGGAGGGGAGTGGGACATTATAATTGGATATAAAAGGAAAAATTTGAGTGTGTTTGGATAGCTCAATTTTGCAAATAATATTTGGATTGTATTGTAAACACACTTCTCAACTCATCTTTTTTATGTTTCTAATCATTTTTTTATCTCACATACATTACATCATAAAAAGTGACGTATTTTGCTCTATACTTTATACATATAAAATCAAGGGAGGGCATAATGGATCTCAGTTATACAAGAATTTATATGTTGAATTGCTTGAATATTAAAAATTGAAAATTCATTATCTTTGTCAATATAGAAAACTTATAATTTTTCAATAAACAAGTGCATTTTTTTTTTATAAATATCATGGTTTCATTAAAGTTGTGTTTAATGATAGATATTAAATCAGATATATATAGAGATACCATATATTTGAAGAATTAATAAGTGGAGACGAGATACTCTCCCCTCCCTCTCTCTCTCTCTCTCTCTCTCTCTCTCTAAATATCCTCCAACAAAAATCTCAACCAACTCTCCTATGGGAGAGGGATCAGACAAATTTGGTTTGTTCCCATTGGGAGCGAGACTTCTCACTAGCTTTTATTTTGTTTGTTTAAAAAAAATTCTCTCATAGCATTTCTTAGTTAGGGATTCTTCTTTCCTAAAATTTTTCAGTGAGAGTTTTCTATTTTGTAGATTTTTCTAGTGAGAGTTTCATTCTCTGTTATAATTTTCTTATGTGAGTGCTTTTATGATTTGACATTTTTTAGTGAGATTTGAGAGGTTTCATTAAATTGACTTTTCAAATATGGAATTTCTCATGCCTATTATGTCATCTCTAAACTTCTCTTTGAACTTAAATTAGTGTTGTTATCAAATCTGACCTTCCAGAGAAAGGGATAATTTCATAAACCTCCTTTGAGGTTTCTGATAGTTTCACTTAACACCCTTAAACTTTTAAAAATCTCATTTGGTTCCCTTGCTTTAAACTTTTTGTAACATTTAAAACCCATTTCAAAATGTAATATAAAAAATCTCATTTTGGAGAAAGAAATATAATTTCAAATTTGCCCTTTTCTTGTGATTTCTTAAATGTCATAATACACCAAGTTTATTGCTTAACTTTTATAAATTGATCGATATAGTTCTTTAATGAAAATTTAAGTTTTGATAACAAGATAAAAAAACTCTTTAACAAATTTTGTGTAATTGATTCAGACAAAAAAGGTTAAATTACTTAAAATTATGAATGATTTACGGTACTCTTAAGCATGAGAATAACACACAAAAAATAACATGCAATAATTTATAACCATGAGAATACCTTTTTGGACTAACTTAAAGAAAATACAAACAAGTTTATATATAAATTTCAGCATGTTGTATCTTTTTAGTTGTCAAGCCATCGATTTAGACAAAAATTAAAAATTTCAAAAATGTGTAAATGATTTATAAATTAACTCAAAGCACTTTACACTAAAGAAAATATTATCTTTATAACTTGCAAAATCTTCAATAAACTTTCAAATATATACTCTTGGCATTTAAGAAAAAAAACTATATTTTGTCACATCAGAATAAGCGTTTATACTTTTTGTTTTTATTTTTCATTTGTTATTAATATACTCACATTTTGGTAATAAAACAACAAAAGGACAATGATTTGGAGTTTCAAAATTGTTTTGTATGTTTATTAAATTCTAGCTCGTATCTATTGTCTCCGTTGTTTTCTAGATTTGTATATATTCATATCATATTTGGTATATTTTCTATTGGTAGTGTTGAAATTTTACTTTTAAAAAAGTGTGATGTTATTTATACTCCTATTATGTTATTTACATTTTCACTATCCCAATTTTATTTGGATGGCACCATATTATCCATACCCTAATTTCTTCTCCTACCCTAATTGGATAACCAAATCTAGTAAAGTTAGCTCATGAGTTTGTTTGGACTATAAATTATTTGAGATATTTTTACTGTAACACTTTTTGTGATGTGATGTATGTGAGATAAAAAGATAATTGGGAAGATAAAAAGGTGTATTAGAAATTGTAATGATGATGTAAGCAAATATAAATGGCCAAATAATCTGCTGTCCAAACAAACGTGTCAAAATAAAAATGAGACAGTGGGAGTGCAAATTATATAATAAGAGTATAAATTGCATCACCCTTAAACAAAACAAAAGTAAAAAAGTCAAGACGTGTAGGTAGGTAAGTCAAAATTTTTGGACCAAGTAAAGCGTGTCTAAGATGAAAATAAATGCACAACAGCTAAAGCGTTGACTTAGCGTAACACAAAAAATTCAGCTTCTCCATCATGCATGTATGTATAGTCTACTTGAACGTGGCTTTTAGTCTTTAGACTGAAGCTTAGCTGTTTCTTTAAGATTTCTTTAATATTGGCTAGTTTTCTAACGCTACAACTTTATTTTGGTGCTTAATTAGCGTTTGGGAAGTCTAACTCAGTTGTCTTGTCATGCGTTTGTTGAGAGGATTTTGATACTAGAATTCAATTTTAACAAGATCATCATGAATTAGAGTTCATGTGTTGGGAAGTGGGATGGAGAATGTGATAGTATAGTGTAATTTCTTCAAATGAAATTTGAGACAAAGAAAATTACAAATTAGGAAAAAAAAAAAAAGTCCAAGATGACCAAGAAAATATGACGAGATCAAAAAGTTCGAGATACCTTTGAGGAAACGTCAAAGGAAAATATATATATATATATATATATATATATATATTTTATAAATAACTGATAAGGAACAAAAAGGAGTTGTTAGTTACAATAAACGTAACAATCAGACAGCATTTTCGAAGTGCCTTAGGGAATTTTATATTTAAATTCTTGGTTTCTTCTTCAACCTGAATTGCATTAATTAATGGCTTGATATATTGTACTTTGAACCCAAAGTTTTCAATATTAATAGTTTAAAATAGTGCTGGTCTGTCAAAATCCTGGAATAATGAACTTTTAATTGGTTGAAGATTCTGCTGTTTGAGGTGTTGAGATATTATTTGTTTATTGCTAGTTTCTAATGCCAAAAAAAAACAAAATAAAATTAGGCAAACATGTCTCTTGTTAAAATAAACCAGGATTATATTTTATCCCCATTATTCTGCCATTACACGTCAGTTTTGGGATTAGAGTATACGCTCTTGATCACATAGCTGCAAGTGTGTACGACTACAGCAATGCAGAAGCACAAACAAAATTTTTTTTCTTTTTATTCTTGTAAATAAATAAAATGATGTAATCTTTATTTGTGTATAATTGCTTATTGGGCTTATCTAAATAGTTAAGTGGAGCCCCAAGAGTTGTATTTTTAGTAGTAAAATTAAATTAGAAAAGTACATAAATGCATGGGAACAATAAACACACGCGTGTACGCTACATGTTAATAAAGTTATAAACGAATCGAATCGATTTACGTCGAGTATCTCATATTTGAACTCTGTTCGTTAAACTACTCAAACAAGGCTTGTATTTGTTCGATAATATTTGAGTTCCAAGTCTGTGTTCGTATTTGATTTGTTAAGTAAAATCCTAGCTCGGGTTCGAGCTCGAACTCGGCTCATTTAACATAATCAAGCCATTTGCGAATAGGATCAAAACGTTCAAATTCAGGTTTTTTCTCTTGCAAAATTGATACAATCTACCTATCCATATAGTAGTATTGACTAGTAAGAAACAACATGTTTGCGACTAACAGAGGCTAGAACGCTTGGAATAGAAATTAGGAATACAATACTTATCCTAACTTTTGTGAAATGACAATTAGATTTATATTCATGAATGATTGTTTAAATTCACGAACCAGATCATATTTTTTAGATTATTTATTGAGTCACAATATTTATTTAAACTTGATTCATATAAAATTTTAAACGAGCCATCATCTAACATGAAGGGGCCTAAATGAGCGCAGCTAATGAACAAGATAAAACGCCAAATTCTTAGACTTGACTGGATTCTCATGCACCCTAATTCTATTTCTCTCAATCCTAATTGACCTCGTAAAAAAAAAACAGTGGGTGGGTAGGAGTCCATGGTTTTTCATGCTTTTTGGTCAATAAACCCAGTCAGGCAAGGTAGGAAAAGGAAAGGCGAGTGGACAACTACGTAAACGCACCAACTGTTATGTGCTGTAAAAGATAGGGGTGGTACCTTGGCAGTCTTCTTCTTTTGTTACTCACTATCCCGTAGCCCCTCCCTCGTTTGCCCAATCTACATTCACCTTCCCATCAAAATTTCAAACTTTACCCATATATATCTATATCCCCAAAAAAATTGCAAAAAAGGGATAATTTTTTATAATCCCAGTTCAGTTTTCTTCTTAATCTGGGGCCCTTTTTATAATTTTCTTTCTGGGAACTGGGGTTTCTCAAGTTAGGCCTCGGATTATTGCACTGCCCCATGAAAAGGTAACTTTGATCTCACTTGATATACATAGAATTTTCTGATGCCTAATTTGATTTGTCTTTTGGGCGGTTGAGAATTGAATTTAGTTTTGATGATTTTGGTTTAATTGTGGGATTGGGCTTATGGATGTAAGGCATTAAGAGAATTTAAAGTTGGGGTTTTTCTTCTTTTGTTTCTTTTGATTGTTATTGTGGGTTTTTCTTGGGTATAACTTCTTGATTATGTTTTAGGGATTTTGGAAAATGGGTTCTTGGGGCGCTTCTTAGATATGGCTGGAATGAATATCAATTACCAATTTGATCAATAAAGTTGGTTTGATCACGATTGACTTTAAGTTGTTTCTCTGATTCTTAGTTATGGTTATTATTGGACAGTTTTGCCAAGCATTTTTCTTGTTTTTAAATGTGGATTGTCACCAAGTGATGCATCCCCGTGTAGCAGAATTCAGTTTTAACGGCGGTCTGATGTTCTGTCACCATTACTAGGGGATTGTGGTTTTGAAATGTACTATAAACAGGGGAAACTTAAAAAAGATCGTAGACTTGTAACTTTTCTAGATCATTTCTGGAGGTTGGAGTAGTTTGCAGCTCCAATTCTTCTTTTGATTCGAAGTTCTGGTGACTAATGTCAAAGAGGGTCTACCGTGTTTAGTTTTTGTAGCCTTTGAATGCAAATATTATTTATGGGCTCCTTTGCTTCTAAATTGTGGTGACTGATAACATTGAACTCTCAATTTCTTGATGTGGATCGTAAAGAAATGATGCATGCTTTTTTAAATGTTCAATTGGGCTGGGTGTAAACACTTTTCTATTGAGGTTACTAGGAAGATTGTGCATCTGACAAATATCAACCTATCACCTTTGTAACCATTTCAGCTAGAAGAATAAAAGGTGTATGGTAGATCTGTGCATTCTTTGTGTTATGTGTCATAGGTTGCTGGATAATGTTTTTAACCAATTGATATAACATTTCACATATCTAATACAGCAGGGATTTCATCATATCCAAGTTCGGCTGATATTCCCATGGGTGCAGCTCAATTTATTGGTTTGAGTAGATCCAAGAACTTATTTGTTAGGTGATCATCTTTGGTTAGTTTAGCTCATGCTCTCGATGATCAGGGAACGCTTCGGTTTGAATAGGCCCAATACAATGATAACAGCAAGGATGCAACTGCTGTAAGATGAATATTTAGCACTTCTTCTGAAAAGATCTTCTTGGTGGAATGAAATATTATTGTAATCATGACCAAAATTGCTTTGGGGCTCAGACATGTGCTGTTACTATTGCTTTTTGTAGCTATATTTAATTGTCATGTTACATCAGAAACTGAACAAGAAACCTCACGAAGTGTTAGAACTGCCCCATTGAAGAATGCGGACACTGGTGTTATTGATGGGTCAGGCGTGGAGCATGCTATTGGTTCTGATAGAACTGGGAAGTGGAAGGGGGGGAATAGCAGAGTTTCAGTGTCTACAGTGGCAATTTTCACATTGGCAATGGCTGCTGCTACTGGTTTGGGTGCTGTGCCCTTCTTCTTTGTGGAACTCGATCCCCAGTGGTCTGGAATATGCAACGGGATGGCTGCAGGTGTGATGTTGGCTGCAAGCTTTGACCTTATTCAAGAAGGACAGGACCATGGGAGTGGCAGTTGGGTCGTGCTTGGTATTTTGGCTGGTGGCATTTTCATTTGGGTTTGTAAGAAGGTGACTCTCTTATCTCTCTTACCCAATTGTGCTATTTGAAAACTGAAATTATGTGTCAATAAAATGGAGGGATCATTGCTTTTCACATTTAATTACTTTCATTGCCAGTAATCCTCTTAGTAACCAATATCCAGCATATAAATCTGTAATTGTTTCGCACCGTACAATTTTTTTTCCTTGCCTTTGCGGTTACTTATCCTTGTAGCTTTCGTGTAGTAATTTACACTAAACAAAATGCTGTTTTAACTTTTCTTCTTTTTTCTCCGGTTTTCTTTTCTTGTCTAGTGTTATATACAATCACTAAATGATTCAGAGTGTTTCTTTCCAGTGCCTTCCCAGCTTGGGGAAGTATACCAATGGTGCAAAATTATCCTGGGTTGTCTACATTTCTGAATTTGGTGATTGACATTATTTTGGTGTTATTCTGGGTTTGCATGTTTGGATTCTAAGTTCTGAATGGCTGTTATATTGTTTTATTTGCCCAAATTTTAGGCAACATTTACATATGCTACACCCAGAATATGCTGCTGTTTCTGTTTTTTTTTTTCATATCAAGTTTATAGTCACTTACAAGAATAAGCTCCTTTGTTTTTTTCATCTTTTTAAGTTGTGTTATTTTCTTCTTGCTTGTTTATAAGCTATCCTTGAAGATTATGCATCACAAGCTCCTGAGCTGTATTTCTTGGTTCTAAAATATGCAAGCAAAATACACATCAGAAATCTTAATCTGTCTGCAAGTTAGATTGTTGTATGATCCAACTCCATGGTATTATGTTGTTTTGAATTTTCTAGTGCTGTTGACATTCTTTTTCTTGTTTTCTTTTTTCTTTTGTAATTATGATGGTGTTGTGAGACCCCAGCAATGTTAAACCACCATGCCAAGTTCAGTGTTTGAGTTTTCTGCCTTTGTTATACTAAATTTCCAATGATTTTGCTCACTAATGGCAAAAGCAATGTGATTTTTCTGTGCGGAGCTGGGGTATATGTTCTTTGTCGCTACAGTTTCTGGAATAACTTAGGGACAGGAATCAGATAATTTAAGCAAACACATCTCAAAAATTTGTTTATACTTTTGAAGCATACAAAGGTAGCTAATTTCAACCTTGGAATACAAAACTTTATTTTCCAAAAATCATGTGGCTTGTAGGGCATGATATTTCTATTTTACTATTGTTTGGTTTATTTCATGTCCATGGCCTACTTATCCATTGCGTCTATTCTTGATAAATAGATTCTTGAGCAATATGAAGAGGTAAGCATGTTGGACATCAAAGGAGCAGATGCAGCTAAAGCCATTCTTGTTGTTGGAATTATGACTCTTCATTCTTTTGGAGAAGGCTCTGGTGTTGGAGTATCCTTTGCTGGCTCTAAAGGTCTGTCACAGGGAATATTGGTTACTTTAGCCATCGCCGTGCACAATATCCCAGAGGGATTAGCTGTGAGTATGGTGCTTGCATCAAGAGGTGTTTCTCCACAAAAAGCATTGATGTGGAGCATTATTACATCACTGCCACAGGTACTTGTTTTGGGTTTTGACCATTATTTACAATTCAGTGATACATTGGCTAGACTTTTTGGACCTTGCACACATATTTAGCTAATGGTTTTCTTTTGTTAGCAGCTGCATATTGCTGCAATTTAGTGGTCTAATTACACGATACCCTTCTTCCTCTAGTTAATGCCCAATTATTTCTGGAATCTTGGTACAGCCAATTGTAGCAGTGCCATCATTTATTTTTGCTGATGCATTTAACAAGTTCTTGCCATTTGCTACTGGCTTTGCCGCTGGTTGTATGATTTGGATGGTTGTTGCAGAGGTGCTGCCAGATGGTTTCAAGGTAACTCGCTTTCTCTTTGTTTTATTACCTGTTTTGATGTGTTTGTTTTTCAGTTTAAATCCTTTGGTCTGGGTTTGGGTGGAGCATGGCAATTGAATTTTCTCCTTAATATCTATACTATATATAAAAGGTGTAGGGGGTCTTTTGGTGTAAACTAAAACCTGTCGCTTTATGATATTCCTAAATTACCCTTCATGTATAACTGCCTTCTACATCTCCTTCCATCTCTCTCATAACTACTCACTGCCAAATAATAGTCTATTTGTTCATCTATACTATATATAAAGGAGGAGGTGGTCTTTTGGTGTAAACTAGAGCTTGTCACTTTATGATCTTCCTAAATTACCTTTCATAGATAACTGCCCACTACTATATCTCCTTCCACCTCTCTCATAACTACCCACTGCCAAGTAATAGTCTATTTGTGCATTTTAATTATATGAATGAGAATTTTCTATTTATGTATTAAAAAAATATATAATCAATTTTTATAAAAATTATTTCAACCAATATCTTTAAAAAAATTTAAAATATTTTTTGTAGTTGTACACACATCGACTGTGCCTTGAACACTAGTTGGTATAGTTTCAATGATTATCTGTTAGGATTTGAAGTTTTTCCAGGATTTTTACTATTTTTTGTGTATATTTTGTGTTTGCTTTTGCTCATAGATTGTGATTACTTTTCCTTGTAATTTGTAGCTGTTGCATAGATTGTAAACCTCTCTTGCAGGTGCTTCATCAATGATCAATAAAAATTAATGAGCTTAAAAAAAAAAAAGAAACAAAAGGATTTGAATTGAAGAGGAAATTGTTGTAAAAATACCTGTGTATCACTATCAGTATTACATGCTATAATACTATGTCATGTGGTGAATATTCACAATTATCTTAAAATAAATATCTTTTTTGATTTTGCATATTAGGAGGCCTCTGCATGTCATGTAGCATCAGCAGCTACACTTTCAGTGGGTTTTATGGAAGCTTTGGGTGCTATATTCCAGAATTTCAGCAACAACTACAGGTGAGCTTATGCATCCATGCATGCATTTCTGCATTCTGAAACATGGTGACAAACAGGGAGAAAATAGTCTTCTGTTCTTAGTATAGGAAGGCTGTTTCAAACGTTCTTGCATTTGTTCGCTCCATATGTCGCTCAATTTTTTTTCACCTTATATAAGTATAATATGTTTCTTTGCATGGCTTTATTGCATTTGAAGGTATACTTGAATGTTTATGGAATTATTAGACTAAGGTGTATTAATATAGGCCATTGCTTTTGAACCCTCTTGTTTTCCATAATGCATCCGTTGTCTTGTTTTTCGTGACCTTATCCTTGGAATTGAGACCTCCAACTGCCATTATGCTCAACAAAAGCATTTATTTAAAGGTTAGAAAAGTCTGGCTGTACAGGTGAATTTGATAAATTATCTTAACAATCTTGATGATGTCTAAAATTATGTAATGGCCTGATTATTAAATTGTGAAACCATTATATTCTTGCTTCGATCTGTTAATTGTGGTACAACTGGCAAGGTTAAGGAAAATCTGTTAAGAAGCATCTGTTAATTGTGGCAATCATTAAATTGAGCAGAATTTAGTTATCCATACTATTATCCATGGTATTTTGCTGTCTCTTAAAGCGATATTTTGTGAGAGACGTGGCATAGTATTCGGGATGTTGAGTTCGACGTTCTAAACAAAATAGGAATTTATTTAATAGATGATACCAATTGAGTACATGAATCTAGCACTTTCTAGTGCTTGCTTATTATTATTGGCAGATGTGATCCCCAAATTGTTTTTTATCTTTGCTCTGTAGTTCTGAGGATGCTTCCGGTTTCCTTGTTTCACTGCTATTTGGTCTTGGGCCATTGCTTGGAGGAGTCGCCCTTGTTGCATTTGCTCTTGCTCTTCGTCTTCAGCATGCTCTCCTAACTGGGGTAGCTTCTGGTGTTGCCTTTATTCTTGGTGCCTGGCGGCCAGTACAACTGCTTCTTTCTTCGAAGATGGGGATTTTCCCCCTTATGCTGCTTCTTGCAGTGGGCTCTGCATTTGTCCATATATCTACTTCCAGTGCTTTAAAAATTGGAGGTCGGAAGCGCACTTCAGCTGATACATTATCTGCTGCAACTGGCATTCAAGTTAGCGCTCTTACCCTTCAGTCAATCTTGTGTTGTATGGCTGTTGCCCTTCATGCTCTTCCTGAGGGGCTTGCCTTAGGAGTTGCTGCACCTAAAGCATATGGGCTTGGTCAGTACATGGTGCTTCCTGTCTCCTTGCATGGTCTTCCTCGGGGTGCTGCTGTAGCTAGCTGCATTTTTGGGGCAACCGACAGCTGGCATGGCTCTCTTCTAGCTGCTGCTCTAATTGGGTTTGTTGGTCCGTTGTCTGCAATTGGAGCTATACTTGGAGGAATTGACTATAGTGGTTTGGACCACTTAATGGTGCTTGCATGTGGGGGATTACTCCCATGTTTCGGGAGTATTGTAAAAAGGGCAGTAAAACTAGATAAAAGAAGAACCGTATCGGGCTTGATAGTAGGTGTAGGATTTGCCAGCATCTGCCTAACTTTCACCAAGTTGGTGTGTTTGCACACACCTTATTGCAATTCTGCACCCGAGGCTGTGAGATGATACATGATGGAACTGCTGTATATATGTATTGCTGCAGATTGGACGAGAGAACTTGTGACCAGTGCCTAGATAGTGGTAGTACTTAGGTCGGTTCATTCATCAATGCAAAAAGCTCATTGAGCTGATTTTGTTAAACTTACATTTATTTCCACTGCTTTGCAAAAAGAGGGTATTACAATTATACAGCAAAGTAGGTGTTAAACTGTTTTGCCCTCTAATTGCAGGCATCACCAATTGACTTTATAGTCTCCTTTCAAATGAAAATGTGTAGTTATTTCCCTCTAGTTAAATTGCTATATATGCACAGCCTTATTTTGGACAACTGGGTAAATTACTTGTGCTTCTGCAGCATTGCCATTTTCTGCCTTGCATGGAAACTTGGTCATGTCTTATGGCAACAAGAAGTAAGAGGTCCTGGGTGCTAATCTTTGGAAGTTACATGGCTAATGAGACAATCTTGCAGATGTGACCGTCCTTGCTATTACAGAATTAAGAGAAACATCTCATGTTTTCATGTGTTGGCAGCTAAATTGCTCATATTTTTGTATTCAATCAGTTGTCAGTTCTTGGTCAGGGAAACCTAGATGAGAATTTCTGAAATGGAAAAGCCATTAGTTAGGAGCGTTGTTGGCGAGGTAAGCTGATACATTCTCCTCAAATCCGGAAGCACGTGCTGCACCTGCTTAGTCCCAGAGAGCTGCCAAAAATAGAATCTGAATGTTCTGATCCATCCCAATTAAAACTTAAACAAGAAATAAATTGTTCAGAATCACCAAGTGTTATCCATAATGCTGACAAGTTTGATGGAGTAACTTTTTAAGTTTTGCATGTATAATCATATACTCCTTTTAAGTATGTACTAAAAAGAGTTTCTGTCATAAAGCTGTAATTCCAGAATTACGATGATTACTAACTGTATTTTACAACAGGAAGTATTATTAAGTATGATCAATGTGCAAGACAATTAGACAGTTGATTGATATGATAAATTTAGGCGCTTACACGTAATAGTACAGAAAACAGTTTAAGACCAGATCACATCCGCCAAATACGACTTTGGTGATACTATAGACTAATGTCTTGCATCTACAGACTTGGAATGTTAGAAGAAAAGAACTAAAATGCTAAAGAAAAAGATTAAGAAAAAAAAAAAAAAATATATATATATATATATATATATAGAAGAAATTCACCCCTATTATGTTTTCGCTTATTGTATATCTGTAACATCTATACTGCATATAAAGCCATAGAAGGGATTGGGTGATGGATTTCCTATCACTTTAATCTGTTACTGGAGTCCGGCATGCGACATCAAGGGCAGGATCACACAAAGAGGCCAGCAAGCAAAGGTGCTGTTTTCTTCTAGCAGAAAATCCAACTGCCTCGCTCATGTCTAAACCACCATTGGAATGGAGGCTAGTTGGGAGTTTCCAGTCAAAATGATAGAGCAAAAGAGCTAATGGAAGCTCAATATTAGGCATAGCAAATGAAATTCCTGGGCACATCCTCCTTCCTGCACCAAAAGGGAGATACTCAAAGTGAGTTCCAGTGAAATCAATGGAGCTGTTTTCGAATCTCTCGGGTCTAAAACTCTCTGGATCATCCCAATACTCAGGGTCCCTTCCTATTGCCCAGACATTAACTATGACTCTGGTCTTGATGGGGATTATATTTCCGTCTATTTCACATTGCTCCCTACATTCTCTAGGGACTAAAAGTGCAGCAGGAGGGTGCAGCCTTAGAGTTTCTTTAACGACCAACTTCAGGTACTCCAAGTCTTGAACATCAGTTTCTTCAATTGTTGTTTTCTTTCCCATAAAGGCTGCCCTTATTTCAATCTGTGCCTTGGCCATCACATATGGATTTCTGATCATCTCAGCCATCGCCCATTCAACAGCTGCGGGTACATTTGCAAGGCCACCTGTAAACAAGTCCTGCATTTGTGCTAAATTTCTTGGTCACAAACTGCACATGGAAATCACAATTGAAGGCAAAAGGCAAAAAGCGCAAAAAGAATTTCATGACATGTACTTACAATCAGAACAGCTTTGATATTGTTGTTGGTGATTGGAATTTGAAGATCACCACTTTCTTTTACTCTTAGTAGAACATCAATTAGATCTTCATCGCTGGATTCTCCCATGCCCTTTCTCGTTCTTGCTAAGTTATCAACACGCTCAGCAATTATGTTGTCGAAAATTTTATCAATCTTTTGGTGCATCTTCATGACTTTAGTACTCACCCGACTAAAGGGATGAAGAATCTTGTATGACGGAAAAAGATCAGAGACATCACAAGTACTTACAAGGGGTAGTGCTTGCTTCAAAACCTGTAAGAATGTATCCTTATGCTGTCTGCTTACTTTCCCGAATGCTGCTCTAAAAACCATGGAGCTCGTGTAGGAGGACAGTTTTTCAGTTAAATTGATTGGAGCTCCAGCAACAGATAGAGCCTGGATAGATGAAATGAGATGCCAAGCCTCATCTTGCATGATAGAGCCAAATGATTGGACTTTCTCAGGACCAAGGAGCTTCATGGTGCATATTTTGCGCATTTGTCTCCAGTAAGGACCGTATGGGGAACCAGCTATGTTTGTACTGTCATAGCAAACAATCGGATTTGGGGCAGGGACGGTCATCAGTGTGACCGTCCCTGCACGGTTGAGGGCCAAGCACGGTTGAGGGCCAATCTTGGCCCTCAAAATTTTGTACGGCTGAGATTACACCATGTAACTCGATTTTCGTGCCAAGTGTGGGACCCACCACTATCTGTTGTGAAAATACATCATGTGAAAAAAAAGTTACACGATGTACAAAGAAAGTTACATGGTGTTGACAATGACCAAAATTGGCAGGGACGGCAGGTGCAACCGTCCGTGCCCCGCGTCCCAAACAATCTTGGAAGCTAGAATTTCTGCCCTATCTGACAATGCAAGATCATGAGTTTTCAGAATCTCTCTAGCTAAACGTGGTGATGATACCACAATTGAAGAAATCTCCCCCAACTGAAGGTGCATCAGAGCACCATGTTTCTGAGCTAATTTTGCAAGAGCACGATAGGGCGGGCAACCTAGCAAATGATGCAAGTGTCCCACAAAAGGTAGCTTCCATGGAGATGGGGGTAGCTTCTGGGATGCTTTTGATCTCTTGCATTTCTTGATTAAAGCTGTAACAACTGCTAGAACAAGAAAACAAGCTATGAAGTTGGAGGTAAGATCCATCATCATTCTACCTTTTATGTATGCTATTGGACTAAGCCAAGCTGATTGGTTAAATAGAAGATCCTTCTGTTCTCAACAAAGTGAGGATTCTAACCCTCATAGGCAGTAGGGAAGAAAAGATGCACCATATATTTTCAGTATGCGTGGGGTGGCTTTAAATCCTTAGTCGTGAAAGTTTTCGACCCAATTCAATAGCCCAAATGAGACACTGTCACGGGGATTCTACTGACTCAACTCATATAAAATCAAAAGAATTGTCACGTAACGAGATTAGTGAATTTAACATGGAAGGGTTTTTTATGTCCATGACTAAATTGCGACTGAATTAGGGGTGAGTAAATTCGGTTCGTACCAAATTCATAACCGATTTCAAATTCAATTCGATAATTTGAAATCGGGTATTTGGTAATTTGGTACAAATTCGGTACATACCGAATTCACCGAATTCTAATATGGTATGAAATAGGTAATGAGATTATGAATTTGATAATAATTGATTTCGCATTCAAATTCGGTAATTGAAATCGGGTACCGCATTACCGCATTCGAATACCAAATTGGTATATAAAATTATATAATATATAGATAAATGCTATTTAGTATTAGTATATACTACTAATATATTAGTATATTATATAGGTAAATGCTATTAATAATAATTAGTATATGGTATCATCATCATATCATGTACTTATAATAATAATAATATATAATAATGTACAATATATTATTTTAGTATTTGTTAATTGTTATATGACTATAATAATACAAATATATAGTAATACATAACAATATAAGATAACTATAATACTTATTATTTTATGCATGAGTAACATGACTAGAATTAGATAATAATTAATACATATATGTATAATGCTAAATATTAAACAATAAACATAATTAGTAATTAGAATTTAGATATTGGTAATTTGATACATCATTCATGTTTGAATTATTATCTTTTTTTTTTAATAGATGAATTCGGTTAGACCGAATTCATTACCGTTTTCGAATTTGAAATCGGTTGCGGAATGAATTCGGTTATAGCTAATTCGAAATTGAAAACGATTTAGGTTTCTATAGATCGAATAACCGAATTCACCGAATTCATTGCACCGAATTATCGCTTTTGCACCGAATGCACACCCCTAGACTGAATATCCGCAACCAAGGATTTGAAGCTGCCACGGGAAAGATACAGAAAATAACAAACTAGAAGTCTTCAAATTCAAATTTAATCGAGTAGCTCGCGAGCTTGTTCATTCAAAACTTGAGCTAGAACTCACATTGACCGAGTTCGAGCTCGAGTTCTAGTAGCTCGAGTTACTTGACGAGTCGAGTTCGAGCTTAATATGTGAAATTCGAAAGCTCATCGAGCTTAATCGAATTCAATAGAACTTCACATATAAATATTTTTTTTTTATTTTTTTATTTATTAGTATGAAATATTTATTTTGTCCCTTGTTTAAAATTATATAAAATATAAACTTATATTTCTTAAACTCAATAGGCTCGATTAGGTTTGATTAGACTCGATTGGGCTCGATAAGCATGAGTTCAAGTTTGAACTCGAGTAATACAAAATAAAATCGAACTCGAGTAGTGCATTACTCATCTCGATTGGATTCGATTACACCCTAATAGTAAATGTCTTTCAGTTAATTTGTTTTTTCTCTACGGAAGAGGTTTTTCAATTTTCCCAAACTCATGAAGAATATCATGCCGACATCTTTGCATTACTTCTATATTCTACTACTTGACTGTACAAAAATCCTAGTCGTCGATTTGATTGTTTGCCCACAATTGAGATAATACGATGCTTACAAGGAACAGGAACATTTATTGATAGTCATTTATCGTGCAATTGTTAAATAACATTTATTAATAGTCATTCATCAACAAGAACATCTTATTATTAGGGGATAATTTTAGAAACCTCCCTTTGAGGTTTTTGACTATTTCATTGGCCTTCCTCCAAGTTTTGAAAATTACACTAACCTCTATTGAGATTAATTATCTTGTAACATTAAAATCCAACCAATAATTATATCCCACAAACTCAAGATTAATTATAACACTTGTGTTATAATTTGGGATACTATTTGTTTACACTAAATGTTGTAAAATTTACAATAATCATTCTATGTTGTAACATTATTGTTGTACCAAATTTGTGGGATATCACAATAATGGTACAACAATAATGTTACAATAATCACAAGTTTGGTGCATCGTATTATCTTGTAACATTATTGTTGTACCAAAATTACATTATTGTTGTAACATTAAGTATGTAGTAAAAGAGTTCCTGTTGTACCAAATTTTCATAAATTAATTATTGTTGTAACATACCAAAACTGTCTTGCACACTAATGTTGTACCAAAATTACAATAATGTTACAATAATCACAAATTTGGTGTATCGTATTATCTTGTCACATTAAGATCCAACAAATAATTATATCCCAATAATTATGTACACTTATGTTATATCCCAATTCAAATCAACAACTGCACATATTAATACCTGACATAACCATACTTACCTTGATCTCTCAAAGCAATATTTGCACAAAAGAATTCTCAACGCAAACATTGGCAGGCTCTTAGAAATCAAAGGTAAACCACATGATCATAATCTTACATTTTGGAAATTTCAAGTTTTGGCCAAATTCTTGCCTTTGACTGTCAAGAAAGATCTATAATGGTTCTAGTTTGGGTTCTTTACGGGTCATGTCTGTCCAAATAGAGTTCTTCAGATACACAACTGCACGATTGGTTTCCATCCTTACTTCTCTGCATCATTCCCTACTGATAAATTCACTTTTCATATGACCTACTTAAATTTACATCGATCGAAATTCATACGCAAATGAGACCCAATAGCTCAGAAATCTCAGAAACAATAATAGGTCCGCTTGTCAATTGCGTTAGACGGAACTGAACCTGCCATCTTCTGCCAGCATTTTTTTAGCCTGAAAATCATAATCAGGAATCCTTTTGGATGATACGTTAGACTAAAGGACTCAGACTGAGAAAGTGACATCTAACTCTTTTCTTCTAAGATTAATCTTCTATATACTAATAGTGTATGCGCTATTATTATTAGATACATGACAACTAATATGAATTTGAAATTCAAATTTTATACATGTATTGTAATGTAACTATGATAATATATATAATATCAATGTATATATAAGACTAACTCTTCCTTTCATAGTTGATTATTGATGGATCATGGAAGATCTTTCTTATTTAATCATTGACAGAAGTATCAAAATTCCCTCAGTTTTTTTTTCCCCAACCATAAAGCAGTTGGATTAGCTGGTGCAACTCTATGTAGTCCAAAAACCTCCATGTTTAGGATTTGCTGACATCCTTCCATTAGTCTACTCCCAACAGCAGTAGACACCCTCTCCTCTCATCCTTCTTCTTCTCTCCTCCTCTTCCACTATCACTATTTAGCTTCCTTGCAATGGAGGAAGCAGCGGCAGAAGCTTCTGCCAGAGGGATCACAGTCATCTGCATGTCTGCCAAGAGGGATTCAGTCATCTGCATTACCCTTTTCTTCCACCTCCTTTCAAAACTCCAAATATGATGATTCTTTGTAGTGGATTGAAATTTTTTTTTCCCCACATTAAAATCGTTACGAAAATCCTTATAGTCATTGTCCTCTTTCTCAAGAAAAGTTAAAATAGGCCTTTTAAAATTTTTCGGTTACGATCAAAAAGGTTTCAAGAAAATCCAAATTATGCCCAAAATCACGAAACAAATCTGGACAAAATTAAAAGAAAAAAGAAAACTGAAGATTGGGTTCGAGATAGATTTGGGGGAAGAGAGTAAAAAAGAAATTTTAATCTATTGCAAGTTGATTTTTTTTTTTTTTTGTCGCAATGGTACTGGATTTATATGTGAATGATTATATGTTGCAGACTGTCAAATAAGGTTAAATCCAATTAAAGTGATTAAATATGATTTGGGTTTAATGTATCTAATAGCGTATGGGTCTTCAATATGTAGAGACTTAAGAGTATTTCCTATTTATATGATGGATTGAAATAGGAATCCAAAAGGTAACAGGAATGTTATCTATAAATAGGGTTATGGTTCTCAGGACACACATTTTTTTATTGTCGTATTTTCTAGTATTGCAAAATAACCCTTTTCTGATATCCTATCGTCAGGAAAAATATTAGAGAGAAATTAAAGGGCTCTCTCAAGAATTGGCAAATACGTGTTAACCTGAAAGACCACCCAGAAATCTCTAAAGATTCAAGCACTAGTTTGTCAACATGAATTCAGGTACATTTTCGCAATTTTACTGTTAATTTATTTCTTAATAATCGTCATATAGATTTTGGGTTTAATAGGTGATAGTTTTCACCAAATATTGAATATAAACAATCACTCTAACAATTGATATCAAAGTAGAATATATTTGATTATTAGAAAATAATTTGTAGTCTTTGAAAGTTTCCTCTTAAAGATTATTAATTATGAGTAGTCTATTCCTGCATTGTTGATAGGTTATAATTCTGCTATTTATTTTGTAATTAATTTTTCCTATTACCTTACCAAATATGGATTAATTATCAGATTTTATTCACTTTTGGTATTTGTGCTTATTACAAGAACTAGTTTTGTACCCGTTCGTTGAACGGGAATCATTGAAAAAAATAAAATATTTAGTTAATTTTATAAAAATATTGATATAAAATACAGATTTAATGTATAATCTATTATAACTTGTCTTAAGTATATTACTATGTAAAGTATACAAACTTATATAAATTATTTTTATGGTATAAATTTGAACATCTAATTCAGTAAATAATAATTCAAAAATGAAAAAAATAACATTCAACAATACCGTAACATTCAAAAATTTGAAAATAAATAAAAAGTACAGTAAATAGTATCAAATAATATTCTACTCTTCAGAAACTTGTTTTGTTTTTCTTCTGTTTGAACATTCTCCTCGATTTGTCCGTGCAACTCAGCATTTATTAATTTTTCATTATTACTGCATGATAGCAAAGCAGGATTTAATTAGCCACACTAATTATGGTATTTGATGTATTAAAGTGGGTAATAATTTTATAGTAAATTGTATTTGTAGACTTAGCCCATGAAAATCTTGTTGCGTTGACCCTTGAACACCAACATACATAAATTTCGCAAAAGGAACCAAAATAAATTTTCCCCTTTGAGTTCATGATCACTCAAGAGACATAGGCCAAATACTTATAATATGAATATTTAACAGCAGTGTCAGACATAGCAAAAAAAATTCAAGTAAAGTAACTAACAGTAATAATAGCTAAAGATCGTGAAGAAATGCCTTAGTCAATTGATTATTAAACATTTAAGAACAACATGGGACGTAATCAACAATAACATTTACTTCCATAAAATTCTTACATCTAAAGATGAACATATTTTTTTAAAAAAGAATCTTTTGGCTCGCTGAAAACAATTTCATTACAAAAATTCTGGACAACAAAACCCATGAAAATTTATATATATGAGGTGAAAATTTGATTAAAAAATATTTACAAAAAACATACATAATTTTTGAAAAAAAAAATGGTAGTCCATGCAAAACCTCGTTAGTCAAGGAAGTTGCCCGTCTACTGAAGTTTTTACTTAGCATAGTTGCATCCTTTTTAAACTTTTTATTCATCTTGTAAACTTGAATCTTTCACCAATTGTTTGTTCTCATTTTTTTGACATGTTTAAAAAATGAAAATTATCATGCATTCGAAACGGCCCAATAGGATTCCGTTTTAGTCAATGTCATGAGATTGATCTTCACATTAATCAGTCAAAAGAAAGACTCCAAAGCTATCCACAGAACGGGTGCACCCATTTCAATGTACTGACGCGTGCATGACTGTATGTGCGATTCTCTTCAAACTTATTTCTGATTCGATGCATGTGACCAATTAAAGAAATTCGATGGAAATTCCATTTGACAATTTTTCAATGGATCTTGCTCGTTTTGTCATGTTCAGCTTACAAAGAGCATGTGGCATAATTTTATCACTCAATTATTTAGAGTTATCTTCTTGGGACAGTAAAAAAATTATTTTACCCAAAGTGGTCTTTGAACCAATTAAAATATATAACATTAAATCAATTACATTTTTGCTCAATTACATTTTCGCAATTTTACTGTTAATTTATTTCTTCCGTTTAGTACAGCAAACAGAAATTTGGATCCTGAAATTGTCAATGGATTGAAAGAGATGTTGGACGAGTATAATCCACTTGCAAAGGCATTTCGAATGGCAAGGGACAAGTTTCAGGAATCCAATTACATGTCAGTTCGTTTGAGATTGATTGGTACTCGATCTCGAGATGGAAGACAATACAACTTACCAATATCATCAGAAGTAGCTGCACTTATAGTCAGTGATGGAGAGCAGGCAAGGGGAAATAGAGATATTATTGTTGAGGAAAAAACTATGGGGTTAAAAAGAATCACCGAATTGCATCCAAGTTTTATGGCGATGCAATATCCAATCATATTTCCTTATGGTGAAGATGGTTTTAGGGTGAACATACCAAGAAATGTGTCTCCAAATCCAAGAAAGAGTAACGGTAAAAGAAAGTTTATCAGCATGCGGGAATTCTATGCTTTCAGAATACAAAATAGACTCAATGAAGCGAAAACATTGGTCAGTGCAGGTAATTTATTTCAGCAGTATATTGTTGATGCTTTTGCTGCAATTGAGGAAAATAATTTGAATTGGATTCGTGCCAATCAGCAAAAGATTAGAGCAGAATTATACAAAGGTTTGCAAGATAATGTGGTACGAGGTGATACGACACCTGCATCAGCAGGAAAACTGTTGGTTTTGCCTTCAACTTTTACCAGTGGACCAAGATATATGGTTCAAAATTATCAAGATGCAATGGCAATATGCAGATTCATGGGTCCTCCTGATCTTTTCATTACTTTCACATGCAATTCTAATTGGCCAGAAATCAGCAAGGGTATAAGTTTGATCCCTGATCAGAAAGTTGTGGATCGACCTGATATCGTTGCACGTGTTTTTCACATAAAATTAGATCAATTGATGAATGATTTAACACATGGACAGCATTTTGGCAAGGTGATGGCAGGTATCAAACTAACAAAATATTTTATTTATTTTTTCAAAAATATTTAATTTATATCAAATTCTCATTTAATTTCATATACTTATACTTTGTACAGCATTATATACAATTGAGTTTCAAAAGAGAGGGTTGCCCCATACGCATATTCTGTTATTCTTACATCCAGATGATAAGTGCACTACACCAAGAGATGTTGATCGAATCATTTCAGCCGAATTGCCAGATAAGAATACTGATCCAATAGCTTATGAAACAGTTTTACAATTTATGACACACGGACCATGTGGACCAGCTAATACAAGGTCACCGTGTATGGAAAATGGAAAGTGCAGTAAACATTATCCCAAATATTTTTAGACCGAAACAATAATTGATGAAAATGGTTTTCCAGTATACAGGAGAAGGGACAATGGACGAGAAGGTATTAAAGCTGGTGTGAAAATTGATAATCGATGGATCGTTCCTCATAATGTTGATTTGGTTGTCAAATATTGGGGACATGTTTGTGTTGAATTGTGCAATCAGGGCAGGTCTATAAAATATTTATTCAAATATGTGAATAAAGGATATGATAGAGCCACTTTTGTCATTAAGGAAAATGATGCAACTGATGGACAGAGTGGAACACGAGTTGTTCGTGAAGTGGATGAGATAAAAAGATATCTAGATTGCCGATATATATCAGCATCAGAGGCTTGCTGGAGAATTTTTGATTTTGACATCCAATATCGGAGTATTGCCGTTCAAAGATTAAATTTTCATCTTCCAAATGAACAGCCAGTGCTATTTGGTGATAATGATCCTTTGGATGAAGTATTAAACAGAGCAGAAGAACATAGTACAATGTTCATTGAATGGATGAAAACGAACTCCACAGATACATCTGCTCAACAGTTGACTTATGCAGATTTTCCTACACAATGGACATGGAAAAAGAAGTTGAGAAAATGGGTTAAATCAATTACATTTTCGCAATTTTACTGTTAATTTATTTCTTAATAATCGTCATATAGATTTTGGGTTTAATAGGTGATAGTTTTCACCAAATATTGAATATAAACAACCACTCTAACAATTGATATCAAAGCAGAATATATTTGATTATTAGAAAATAATTTGTAGTCTTTGAAAGTTTCCTCTTAAAGATTATAAATTATGAGTAGTCTATTCCTGCGTTGTTGATAGGTTATAATTCTGCTATTTATTTTGTAATTAATTTTTCCTATTACCTTACCAAATATGGATTAATTATCATATTTTATTCACTTTTGGTATTTGTGCTTATTACAGGAATTTGGAGCAAAATGTGATAAAAAGATGAAAAATTACCGAATATGATTTGAACTTACAAAAGGTAGTTCAGCACAAATAAGGAATGTATCAACTAGGAAATCTCCTAGTTTGTTGGCCGCGGTCAAAGAGGAGATAGAGATCAATTGCGAGGAGGACTCCAGGGAGCCTTGGGAGAGCCAGCCGCCACAAGCAAAAAAGTAGGGAGAAAGCTAGTTTCTCGGCTAATTCCTACTTCTTTTCTTTCCATAGTATGGGGAATATATAATCCCAATTAGGAGACAACTTTTGGTCAGACGGGACTTGGTCATCTTTGGCCGTCCCATGCGTTTTCTATGGTTGGAGAACAATTGTTTTGGAGACAATTGTTTAGAACAGTTAGTCATCTTTTATAGTTTGCTTTTCTTTCATGATTCCACTGAACTGAATCACCTTAAGAAAGAACAATGTTTTCGAGAATGACTTCTGCAATTTTGCATGGAATTTCCTCCATGAAGATGAAATAACTTCTTTTTCTAGTCAAGGGGACAACTGATGAATTGGTTCGGCAATTACTGTGAGATATAAACCGTTTTTAATTATTTCTTCATTTATTGGTATTTATATATTTCCTGTTTCTAATTGTTATAGCCTTATGCATGATTAATTAGTGCGCAATAATTGATTGTTCATATAGGCTATTTTGCTAAATAGGGGTTATTGAATCCGTAATTGTTCGTTATCTCTATCTCAGTAGCAACTAGTGTGATTGGATTTATGTCAGGGGAATATATGATCTAATTTAAACAAACCCTCGTAGCGTGTTTGTTAGTTAGGATTGAGTCTTTCTAAAGCTTAATGCAAACCAGAAATTAAATTCTACGGTCGTACTTATGATTGTTTTTGGGTTAGAAAAATAGTCAACGGTCGTACCTTGACTATCGATAAATTAAGGAAAGAATGATTGTTTATCGCGTGTATGGCAACTCTAACCAATCTATTAATAAATGTGGAATTATCTGTAAATTGATGATCAGTACATGAACTATTTCTGAAGTGTACCCTTGGCTTTCTCTAATTATTTCTCTTAGATTATTTTCTGCATTTAATTTACTTAGTTAGCATTTAATCCAAAAACCTCTCATACTTTGAACTCTAGAAGAAATGGATTATCCCCAGTCCCTGTGAATTCGACCCTACTCACCGCTATATACAAAATCTGTATTTTTTTCGAGTAGATATTTATTATTACACAGGCTCGACACATGTCAGTTGTTTGTAACGAATCGATCAATAAAAAAAAGGTTTGCTTGTTCCAGCAGAATTGACAAATCGTTGTGATTCTTAAGTTTATTTGTATCCAATTAGTTTGTTTGATATAATGGCCGATTGACCTTTACATCTAGAGAATTCAACTTTGCATATTATAACTAGTTGACACGTGTTTCGGGATTTTAATTGATTGTTGAGTAGTTTGTCCTTTTCTTATCTCAAATAGAAAGCCGAAACAGAAATCCGAAATATGATGAAAGAACATGACTTTCTAGTGGGTCATTGTCTTGCTAAGCTGAAAGCTGAAGGCCAAAATAGTTTTTTGCTGTGACTTTTCATTATGCCTTCGGCCAAGTTATGAATTATGTCTCTTTGGCTTCAGTCAAGTCCCACTAACCAAACTTTGGTTATTTGCTGTGATGTTTTAGTTGACCAATTCCATTTATGAATCCAGATTGATATTCAATATGATCCTTTGTGCTCAATTTATTTACAATTGGATTCTTTGGCTGGTTTCCTTATTTATCATTACTAGGAAGGGACAGCCTGCACGACGCCCGAGAATTTGGTGTTTGTGATTCAAGATAATTAATAATTATTATTTAATATTTTGTAGTATAGAAACTGAAGTATGATGATTTTATCATGTGATTTTAATAGAAAAATCATAAACTACACAGTGAGTCAATAAAAATAATGTGCAATAAGACATCCTTATCATTATACCATATAAGAATCCGTTGTGATCAAAAGTTATGTTTGAATTTCAACTGCAAAGATAAGGGTAGTTTGAAAATATAAGAATGTTTGAAGTGCAATTGAAAAGTATCCAAAGGTCTCTTCTAAAACTTATCCAAGTTGATAAAACATTTAAAAGTATCAATTGAGTCATTCATCTCTCGAATTTATATATGTTCGTGAAAGATCCCTCAAGCAATGCTTCTGATTTCTCCCTCGACTTAAACTCGCCCTGAATTATCAAGTCAAGTTTATCCATCAATCACTTTGCATCCAATCTAATCTAAAATAATTTTATTTTTGACTAACTATTTATATAATTTGGTGGGCATAATACGACTTAATCACATGTTTTTTACAGAGATAATAATGCCCAAAAATGATAGATAAATAAGAAACTTAAGTGATCTTTTTCAAAGTTTTATAGAAACTATTCAGATTTGGTGTTTTTTGCTAGGGGCATTTCTTTATAATCTCATAAATAAGTTCAAATTTGCATAATTATTAAAGATCTGAATTGAAACTATCTTGATTATAAAAATTGGTGCAAATTAAATAATATTTTCTAAATTTGAAATTGTAGAAAATGGTAACTAAAATTAGAAGAAATTCCTTATATGAGTTCGAATTGCAAATTATAGGTAGAAACTGTTTAATAATATTTTCCAATATTTACTTGTATAAGTATCCAATATAGCATCTCTATTTAATTGACTCGTTTGAACTATGGATAATAGTTGCTTCAATCAAATCAAGAAACATTATTTATCATTGTACAACATACAATTATAAGTAAATGAATTAATACAATGCAATAAAAATGGTACTATAGCTAAAGCATTTAAACTCATCAAGTTCCACTATAAATTTTTTTAGATAGCATAAAAAGTAAATTTTTTGTATTTGAAACTATATAAATAGTAGAATACAAGAACGAGATCATAACATGGAAAACAAATAGACTGCAAATGACATCTTAGTACTACGTAGCATGATTAATTTTCTTTTTTAGTTTCAATGAAGTACAAAATTCTAAGTTAATAAATTTTACAATTATAAAATTCCCAATTAAAATAAACACAAGCTGAATTCTAAATCATATTACATGAAAAAATAACTACTTGAACCATAACTGCTGGAATGTAGTCAACAGATCCCTGGCGTCAAGAACAATAAGAGAAAGTTCATGAGAAATAAGGTTATTTGACTTAAATAAAGAGATAATACCTTGGCCGAGGAGGAGAAGATGATAAAATTGCTTTTTTAATTATTTTAGAAAGTGACAACATTATCTCAAATTGTACTTTGACCAGAGACAGAATCTCTGAGATCTACTAAGAAAAACAATACAATTAGCTAATTTTTGGAATTAGAAGTATCAAAAAGCAAATTATATGGAGTTTTTGAATAAACCAATCATCAGAAAAAAAAACTATAATCGAAGAAGACAAACCCAAAGAACTCACCTCAATTTAAAGGAAAAGCTACTCATCCCACCAAATATTTAATAACCATAATAAAACCAAAGGGGTGAAACCGAAAAAGAAGAAAGGGTATCGGCTAAACATGGGGCATAAATATGATAATGATTGTTCAGATAATAATTAAGTTAATTAATTATAATTAAAATCTAATTATGTAAACATCCAATTAATTCCTTAACGGATGAAAAAGTTTCAAGAAATTGGAAGGCTTAGATATCAGTATAATAAATGATTAAAAGGACTTTTATGTAATTTTATCAAAACACAAGCTTAATTCAGTTGTACTTGATACTCAACTTGGCACCAAACATTATAACATACCAAACCTGCCCCTAATCTTAAATGCCTGAAAGGTTATATAAGTAATTATAGTGAAATTAAATCTATAATGACTTGTACTTAATGTTCCAATTACACTTCAAACACCCTCACATTTTCAAAATAGCTCCACCCTTGTGGTTGAAATCTAAAAATCGTCTTTATCCTAAACTCGTTCTTATATAGTATAAGAATTTATGTTAAGAAAATTAGGGTTTCTATGATTTAAGTAAACCTTAATAAAGATAAACAAGGCATTTAAGGCTTACAAAAGTTCATGTGTTTGGCCCATTAAATATATAGTATTACAAAGTATTTATGGACTTCAAGAAAATTTTGAACTTGAATGATAAATGGAAAAATGGCCAATTTAGTCCATAAACTTTTTTTTTACTGTCAATTTAGTCCCTACTTAATTTTTTTGACCAATTTAATCCCTAAACTTATTTATCGGTTCCAATTGAGGAACACCGCGGCAGCGCCACCTTATAATTCCGATCAAGCTTCTAATTGAACACTTAAACAGGGGTATTTTGGGTACTTCACTAATGGGGCAGTGAGATAAAAAGTAAAATAGAAGGGAAAATTTACCAACACATTTTTATAGTGACAAAAAACCCACCGAACTTCATTAACCTATTAACATAACAAATCAAAGAGATTTAATCAAGAGGTGGTGATCAGGGCGGTAGTGATGGTGGTGGACGGGTTCTATACAAGGTGGTGGTGAAGGTGAATGAGGTGGAGGCGGGGAGTGTACAACTGGCGGTGGAGGTGGTGAGTGTACAAGTGGTAGGGGGCGACGATGAATAAATGTACACTGGTGGTGGAGGTGGTGGTGAGTTTGGTGGCGGAGGTGGTGGTGAATATAATATTAAGGGATAGGTGGTGGAGAGAATAGAGGAG